GATATTCAGCTTCAACTTCAAACGTCTAAAAAACAAATAAAATTAATTGAAATTAAAAAAGTGTAAGTGCTAATTGGCGGTTGAAAAATAATCCTTCCGATTAGGTATATATCAATATATTTGATATAACTAACAAAGATTATACTTAAACCGGAAAAAGGTGAAAAAAATCGAATATCAATGTTATTTTATTTTTTCATTTATTTAATTTTTGTATTTTTTAAGTTTTTATATAAACAATAAAAATCATATTGAATGGAAATGCATACCTTTGCCATACTTATTTAATTATATATACAACCGAGTCCCGATAAATCGAAATGGCAAAGGGATCAGTATTTACTCTAAGTGTTTTTTGCTAAGCATTTCCTTTAAGTATTTTTTCTATGTCTTTAGTGATTAGCTGAACGATCAATAAATATTTCCACAAACTTCAATTTTCTATTATTTTTTATTTCTTCTAAATATTTCTTCAAAATATTTCTTGCAAGTATTTTCTGCACGTCTTTAACGCTTAGCTGAACGATGATCTTTAAATATGTATTTACACACACTTCGATTCGGTGCTTATTTTCTTATTCCTCTAAGTATTTCATCTAAATATTTCTTCCAAGTATTTCCTCCAAATATTTCCTCCAATATTTCCTTTAAGTTTTTAATGCTTAGCTGAACCACTAACAACTTAGTGGCTGAACGTTGAACATTAATGATCATTAACTATTTGCACGCACTTCACTTCATTCTACTGCACTGCGCGACTGACCCCCACCAGGCCTGGGCTGAAGACTGGACTGGACTGAAGAAATGCTGCAGCTGCTGCCCTTTATATAGGGCGACTTTCACTCACTCTCTAAGTCTCTCTCAAATGTTGAGCCCGGCGCCAGGTAGAGGTCGTTACAGTCGATCTTTAATTGACCAATGGGAACACTCTCTGCTGCTTCAAGCATTCTAGCTTGGTTTTACTCAAAAATAAATACCAAATGAATACTACTACATACATATAGACAACTAAAATGATCTGTAGTTCTTCTTCGTCCCTTGCTTAAGTTAAGAGAGACAGACTTTGAGATAGGCAGATACACATACATACGTATATATAGGCAAATAAACAAGCCCAGTTAAATCGCATTACCTCATTACGCTGCTCAATAATACATTTGATTATGTCTACCATTTATTGCAAATCGGATCTTTCGATATAAGTCCAAACTTCCAAAGACAAAGCAATTTAGCTGTGTGGCGCTGTGCAAATACAAGTATATCAAAATTTCTTAGCGATTATCAAAAGTATTTCTTCGGCTTATTGCAAAAAGTTTAAATTGAAGCTAAAGGATCTATGCAGGACATGCAGGATATGCTGCAGCAAAGGTATAAAGTTGCATCTTGACTGTGTATATACTTATTATATATGTGCGCCTGTTGTTTCTCTAGTCTATGGCTCTATGTTGCTGCGCTGATAAACGACTTTGTTTTGCATGTGCCGGAGGATGAGGTCGTAAATATTAGCAATGGGTCAAGGAGTTGCGCAAATTTGCGTGCATTTAATGCCTGAATGGTAATTTGCATAAGCGGCGGGCTTTAAGCAAATGATTAATAAAACGCACACGTTCACTTCTAGCTCGGAGTGGCAGTTGAAGTAGAGTGGGCGTGGCAGCGGCTGACAGTGACAGTGGCTTAGCTGGCCCACGGCCAACGGGCAACGGCCAACTTCAAATAATAATGTCAACTGTATGCACATGTAAATCCAGCTAAATGTGACAGCCCAATGGCAATTAGTAGTAAGACGACGCTCTCGACCCGCCGGCCACTTGAAACTTGTTCGCATGCCAGTGTGGGTGATGTGGCGTGTGCAGCGAATTGTTTTAATAGTTCGCCTTTGATGTGCATAATTCTAGCATAATCCCTTCATTAATAATTAAAGCCATAAATATTTAAACATTTCAGGCGCAGCACAAGGCCCGTTGATGCCTTTGTAACTGTCGGAGCTGTGGTCTTTAATTAAAAAATTCTTCAACACACGCCCACATACATATAAAGATATGTAAATACATGTTTATTTACGTTAATGCATTATATACCTACATATATACATGTATTGTATAATGGCTGCATTTTATAGTTGAATATATTTTAATGTAATTTAATTAAAAAATTATCCAAGCAGAAACCATTTTTATTGTTTTTTTTTCTCATTCTCGCTACTGTCTGTTCGGGTCTCACCTCACTTTGCACTTTATTTGCGGATTTGGCCAGGCTCTATTATTAATTGTAACGGCCGTAAGTTGCGATTGGCCGAGTGCATGCCCGAAGTGTCAGTGCCACAGAAGAATTCGCAAATGATTTCAAAATGTACTTTAATTAAAATTATACTACACCAAGTGTCTGTTGTCAATCGCATAAAGCGTTCATATTAAACAGCATTAAGTATACGCCGCGTACGCATTAACTGTTCGCTCACTATTAAATTTACACTTGCTGAGCCCAAAAGTTGATTAATTTGGCGTGATTTTCATAGTACACATACACACATACATACATACATACATATGTATATATAATTATATATATCTGTCGCAAAGTAGGCAGAACTTCAATTTTGTTAAACTTGATTTATTTCAGCTCACAAATACACATCAATGTGTATATCTCTGTGTGTGTGTAAGTGTATTCTAATTTATGCGCTAATTATGTATGTTGGGTTCGTTATTTTGCATTTGGATTGTTCCGGGGCTATGAATAAATTAAATGCTTTTTACCCAGCTACCTGCCAATTAATTAGGTTACTAAATGATTTGTTTTGCAATTTGTTTCTATATATCCACTGCGGTCCATGACATTTTAGCCAGCGATTGGGCGGCTGCCTGGCTGACTGCATGAAGCGTTTTAGAAATTCAGCTAAATGGGTCAAAGTTGGAATTTATTGTACAATTACTCTAGTTTTTCTGTGTTGACCATGTCACGCAAAAATCTGTCTATGCGAATCATATATAAATTACTTTCATAATTTATATAATATATGCCATTTACTTTACATATTTATAGAATTTTTTCATTTATATACAAATCTGTTCAAGTTAGGCTCATGCTTAGGCTTAATCGTTAGATTACAGCTGTAGAATAGAGATTAACGGAAAGCTATACAATCTATAAATGCAGTTTGGCGACATGCTCAAGGTGTCCTTATGCAAATGCCACTTGGCCATTGTCAATCGGCCAACGTTTGCACACAGCCGATGCTAAATAGCAGAGGCAACGGAATGCGTTTGCGACTGGCGGTCACTGATAACGGGCGAGCAGTTGAAGCAGCCAGCAAATGGCCAAGTAATGGCTGCGGACTGCACTGAGCAGCAGGCGGTGCAGTTAAGTGTTGGTCAACTGGTAAAACATACGCACACACGCACACACATACACGCAGAGGGAGAGAGAGAGATGGACTCACAGGCATAGTTTGCGTAGCAATAGCAGTTAACAGACAATTTCCAGCTGCCTAGCAGCAGGCAAAGCATAAGCCCACAAGCATTTGCACACACACACACACACACACACACACACACACACAGAGATACACGTACGCATTGGCATAAATAAACCACGCACATTTTGGCCTGCATGCAAATATGCAGTAATAAAGTAAATAAACGCTTACCACCCGCCATTATGTCGCTGGCAGCAACAAACACACAGACACAAACTTGCAGATACATATGTGTGTGTGTGTGTGTCTGTGTATTGAACATAAAGTGCCTCGCAAACTATGCACGGCTATGATTGCAAAACACGACTGCAATTACCTGGCCTGCCGGGCAAAATTCACTCACTCACACACACACACACTCACACACATACATACAGAGTGAGAGAGAAGCGCTGACATGCTAGCGCCTGCATTTATGACAGCAGCTTGGCTGGGGGCGCCGCAAAGTAGGCAACGATAATGGCATAAATTCAATGAATAAACATAAAATGGCAAGCACATAAAGAG